ACGCTCTTTCTTTCTTTCTTTCTTTCTTTCTTTCTTTCTTTCTTTCTTTCTTTCTTTCTCTCTTTCTCCATTTATTTATTTAATCACTTTACAGCCTGATCATACACCCCCCTCCTCTCCTTCCAGTCCCACCCTGTTGGGGTCTCAGCTAGGGTCATTCCTATGGACTCCTGGGAGCATCCCTTGTCCCAGAGATGACCCCCCCCCACACACACACACCAATTTTTTTGTTCTCTCTCCTGGTCCTTCATTCTCACCCCTACCTCCACTCTTCCACACCTGATCCCCACTTCCACTTTCCTCCCCACCCCCTCTCCCACAGTTCCCTTTCTCCATCTACTTCAGATGTCTATTTTATTTCCCCTGAGATACCATCAGGCTGATTTCCGAAGCGGTTGTGCAAGTTTGCACTCCCACCAGCAGTGGAGGGGTGTGCCCCTTGCTCCACATCTTTGCCAGCATGTGCTGTCACCTGAGTTTTTGATCTCAGCCATTCTGATAGGTGTAATATGAAATCTCAGGGGTCATTTTGATTTGTATTTTCTTGATGATTAAGGATGTTGAACATTTCTTTAAGTGCATTTCATCAATTAGAATTTTTTATGTTGAGAATTCTCTTACCTCATTTTTCACTGGGTTATTTGGTTTGTTGGTGTTTAATTTCTTGAATTCCTTATATAATTTGGATACTAACCCTCTGTTGGATATAGGGTTGGTGAAGATCTTCTCCCATTATGTGGGCTGCTATCTTGTCCTATTGATGGTGTCCTTGCCTTGCCTCAGTTTCATGAGGTCCCATTTAGCTGTTGGTGTTCTGTTCAGGAAGTTATCTTCTGTGCCAATGTGTGGGAGCCTATTCCCCACTTTTTATTGGATTTAGTGTATCTGGTTTTGCATTGAGGTCTTTGCTCCACTTGGACTTGAGTTTTGTGAAGGATGATAGATAGGGATCTATTTGCATTCTTCTACATGCAGACATCCAGTTAGACCAGCACCATTTGCTGAAGATGCTTTCTTCTTCTTCTTCTTCTTCTTCTTCTTCTTCTTCTTCTTCTTCTTCCTCCTCCTCCTCCTCCTCCTCCTCCTCCTCCTCCTCCTCCTCTTCCTCCTCTTCTTCTTCTTCTTCTT